CTTACAGAGTTAATTGTTATGTTTAGAGTGTAGGCCCTCAAAATAAGGCCTTATGAAATGCGTATTGTATTGTGTTGAATAATTACATTTTAATGATGATATAATAGTTCAGGATCTCACTTGGTGAAGTCCATAGGACTGAAAATGGATGAACGCAATAACCATATCTCTGTCACTAACAAATACAGTCATAGGTGGTAACTCTACAATTTACTCAAAAGGCACTCTGGGAAATACGGCTTAACACCAAGCAGTGTGTTAATTCAACACTGTTCCAACGTCTATATGGGTCCACACGGTGTTCCAACACTCAGTGTTGATTTAACGCTGGAGAATTTGCTGTACACAAAAAGAAAAAGAAACATTTATTCTCATTATCATCATTACCCTAAAACACAGTTTTTCGTTCCCAGAAAATCTTTCTAAATCTGAACGCTGAGAATTGAGAGTGTATTTTTATACTGGGCCGAAGCTTCTCCACCGTTTTCTCACAGGAGTGCTGAAGCTATCCCATTTCACTGTGAGCAGAGGGCGAAAGGGCAGCTTTTCTGCTCACAATGGGAGTCGAGGACCATGTTGCTACTTGTTGATTCCCTGATGTTCCCAAACTGATGTGACTAAGACTAGCACATCTCTATTTGCAGGGGAGATAAATGGGACTTATAGGGGGAGCAATTTCCATGGTTGTTTTTTGTAATGAAAATCAAATACATTTCTTTTTTAGATTGGTATGTCAAAAGTTTAATTTCACATGTTCGTTTTTCGGGTTAGTAGAACAGAGACAGGTGAAAAGATAAATGCTATGACTACAACTACTAACAGCTTCTACAACAACAGTGCTACCAGCATCAGTACTGCAAGTCATTGAAAAGGTTATCTTATTATTTGCTTTTAGTCTGCCATCTTGTGGTATGAATTGTGTATTACACACAGAGGACTCACAGCGGGCAGACTGAATGTGCGTTTCATCCTGTTATTTCCCAAAGAGGAAAAATATGAAAGTTCGGGTTCCTCAACAGGGAGCAATAAAGATCAATGCTGTTCCAGATTTGCAGGCCACACACACACACACACAGAAGGTTACACACACAGAAGGTTAATGAGTTTAAGCCAATTTACAACCTCTCTCTCTATCTTTCTCTCTGACCCCCCCCCCCCCCACCCCTATATAATTATGAGTGCTGAGAGGTCTTTCAGACACAATTATGCACCATAGTGGTATTTTTTTATTTTAGATCCGAGAGAGTTCAACCAATGACGTCATCGGTTGAGTGAGCCTGCTGTCTGGGGAAGAAAAAAAAGAAGGAAAAAGAAAAGGGTGGTTGTCCCACTGGCTATCCTAAGTTGAATGCACCAATTTGTAAATCGCTCTGGATAAGAGCGTCTGCTAAATGACTTAAATGTAAATGATCAAAACATTTATGGAGTCATGTTTTGTAGCAATTATTGTGGCCTTTGTGTTTTGCCGATTGCAAGATCACGCTCGCTAGCAGAGAGTAGCTATAGTTGTCCTTCTTCAATAGAGCCATTGGACTTGTCTCAACGATGTTCCTATCTGCCACGACATTACAGGATATCTAGGTTGACACATTTACCCTGGCTTTGTAAAGACTACAGCCTGACGGATGAGCTGGACGACAAAAATGCTTTTGACGTTTTTTTTACATAGGGACATACAGCCCTATTAGTTTGAGCCGGAATACACGTAAGAGGAGTTGAAATAGCAACAACAAGAATTGCGAGACCAGCAAGCAACGATGGGGAGCAGTTGCGGCTCCTGAAAAAATTCTCAGGGGGGGGCAATTTTTCTGATGATTTAGGTGACCTACACACATTTTAAAAAAGATATGTCCAGCAACAACATGAAGACAGGGGCAGCATATAAGTCAATGCCAGAAGCATTTATTGACTGATCTCAAAAGTGTTGGCTTACAAAAGCAAAATAAGTTATCACAGTAAAAATAATCAAGGGTGTTCTTTCACATTCCTCAACACTGCATAAACAATATGCATTTCCATAAACAAATGAAATATCAGCTGAAAATACAGCAACTTGGTATTTGTTCAGATTGCAGGATCAACAAGAGCTTTTACCACATTTTTTGCCTCATGGTTGAATTGGAAATATGTGCACCTGAGCATAATTCATAACAAGCAAGCAGGAGCTTTTGATAGAGGCTACTGAAAACATTGATGCAAGTTATTGGTAATAAGAAATTTTTATAGACTTCCATATTCTGCCCTCTTGTATAGATTTGTGAAAATGAACAGTGATCGACATTTTGCCTGAAAACAGAATTTGAAAATAATTTATAGAAAAGGTAAACACAGCTATCTGTATGGCTTTGTAAAAATGAACAACCATATTCTGGCCAATTGTATAGATTTGTAAATATGAACAACCATATTCTGGCCAATTGTATAGATTTGTAAAAATGAACAGATTATTTTATTTTTTAAACTTTAAAAAAAATGAAAAATAACTCTTTTAAACAACATCAACTGTGAACTGATTTGGGCGTGTGTGTGTTAAAGAGACAGACAGGGAGGGACAAAGAGAGAGAGAGGCTACATTACTTGTACTGAAACTGTTCTCTTCTCTCTTTCAATGCAGCAAAGCGGTCAATGACTTTCTCATTGAAATCAGGCATGCTGAGGACTAGTTCACTCTCCATGGAAAGCATGGCCAGTGCATTCAGACGTTCCTGGCCCATTGAATTTCGCAGGAATGTCTTAACTCGTGTCAAAGTTAAGAAACATCTCAGCTTCAGCTGTTGTCATGGGAGTAGTTATGAGGATGTTCAACAGAGTCACAGTCTCAGAGAACGTCTCCTGGAGGTTGTAGCTCATGAGAACCTGGTACAGTGCCAGTGCACCACAGTTTGACTTTCTCCTCGTCGGCAAAAAGACCGTTCAGTCTCTCCAAAAGCACACTGGCGATTGAGACTGAGGTTGATTCCGAGATGGGAAGGAACTCAAAAAAGCGCTCCTGCACTTTGTGGTTGCTATCTATGTACCTCAGCACAAGCACCAGCTGTGTCTGTGTAGAAACGTCCGTGGTCTCGTCAGCTTGGATAGCTACGAAGTTCGCCGACTTCACCTCCTCCACAATATGTTCCCTCATGACCGCTAGCATACACTCCAGTAGCTCGTTTTGAATGGTCTTTGATGTGAACTTCTTTCAAAGAGACAATCGAGTTGCACTGAAGGCTAGCCATCTTGATAGTAGTACGTGAATTTATTGACGCTGCTACCCGCTCTTTTCTTAGTTACGTTCATGGTTATGTTACGTATGACGAAAGCGCGTAAGTGCAAGCCCTCAGAAACCCATAGAGATTGTATTGAAAGCTCTGATATTTGAAAAAAAAAGATTTTACATGACAGGCTATGAGAGACTTCTGGGCGATTTTCAACCTGACTGAAATCGCCCCAAAAGGGGCAGGGCCATTTGAAGCACGACTTTAGCCTGATTGGACATTTAGTGGCAGATCAGACGTCTAGATTAGAACACTGATAACTACTGTTGCCGTGATATAATTGATTAGAAAAAAAAAACCCTTCCTTTTCCCGTTTGGCAGTGCGTCGCCCATATCGCCCTAATGAACACACCGCCCCTGATGGGGAGCCACGGTCAGACTCAGACACTAAAGGACTGTTATCATCAAGGCTATCTGGTTTGAACTCTTCTCTCTGCTGTTCAGATGGTAAACAGCCACATGGACAAAGACACTGATCTTGGTCTCTGAGTAGAGTGGTTTGTCACAGAAGAGGTGGTTTGGGAAGAAGATCAGAGTTTCCCCCCCCATGATTTAAAACTTGTAAGTGAACCCATCTAAAAGCATTAGTTAATCTAATCTACATGTTTGGGTCATATTCATTTTAGGTTAAGTTGTCTATGTAGGCCAGAGGTGAAAGTATCCACAATAAGAGCTGTCACGCATGGAGAAAGAGCAAGGGTGTATTCGGCAGGTGGGGCGGCAGGTAGCTTAGTGGGTAAGAGCGTTGTGCCAGTAACCGAAAGGTCGCTGGTTCTAATCCCCGAGCCGACTAGGTGAAAAATCTGTCGATGTGCCCCTGAGCAAGGCACTTAACCCTAATTGCTCCTGTAAGTCGCTCTGGATAAGAGTGTCTGCTAAATGACAAAAATGTAAATGTATTCATTATGGAAACCTTTTACCATTTAAGAACCAAACGGAAGTAAAATTCAGGTAGGTCCCTCCCCACTTCGTTCCGTTTGCTTCCGTTTAAAGAAACGTTTTGCAACAGAATCGGCTGAATGAATCTTGTTCACTGTGGAGGGATTATGACATGTCTTCTCTCATCAGACGGAGGTGCTTCTCAATTAGACTGCAAGAATGGAACTAAAATAAGACAAAGACATGAGTGAATATTATAATGCATCAGTAATACATGATTTGCAGAATGTTGAGAGCTAAACTCTCAAGACAATGGAGTTTGCATCACAACATGAAAAACAAGGACCTACTGCCTGTATAATCAACATAATGCATTACAACCTTGAATAGTCTATGGCAGGGTTCTTCAATTCTGGTCCTGGCGGGCCGAAACACTTCTGTTTTTTTATTTCTACCTGGTAGTTAATTGCACTCACCTGGTGTCCCGGGTCTGAATTAGCCCCTGATTAGAAGGAGAGGATAAAAAACAGAGGTGTTTCGGCCCTCAAGGACCGGAATTGAAGAACCCTGGTCTATGGACTCAAGTATGAGTGAGTGAGAGAGAGAGAGAGAGAAAGAGAGAGAGAGCACATCCTCATCTGACGTCATCACGTGCATCACGTGTGGCCATATTGGGTCAGGAAGTGAAAAGTATCGAAGTGGAAATCTATTGCAGGTTTGCTGTTGTATTTATTCGAATATTCATTCAATATATATACCCAATTTTACGATCAACCGGGTTTATTTATGTATCGGAAACACTAAAACATTCAGGAGGTACCAAATCGTTTGTATTTACCTGTTGTTGGGACGTGCATCCAGAGTATGACTTCCCTAACACAGCGAAGTTCGGGCCTGGTGCAGAGGAGGACCGAGGCCTCTCGCAATGCAGCCGCCGACAAGGAGAGAGGGTCCGATGATGAGGACTACGAGCCACGTCAAGAGGAAGAGGATGAGAAGGGAGACTCCAAAGAAACTCGACTGACGTTGATGGAAGAAGTGTTGCTGTTGGGATTGAAAGATCGAGAGGTATGATGTTAGTTATCGTCGCTATAACGTTATCTAGCTACAGTAACTGTTGTTTACGTTCCAACCAGCCTACGTTATGTGCTAACATAGCTAGCTAAGCTAATGCGCTTTTCCTACATTAGCTAGCTAGCGTTACCATTATGTTATGTCATAGGCCTATTCAACATTGCAAACTAATAGTGCTTTCAAGACAACTGGGAACTTGGGGGCGGGAACTTGTGATCTTCAGGTCGGAAAGTCGGAACTCTAGAAAAATGTCCGAGTTTCCGAGTTGGATGATCGTTCAAAATATTTTCTAGGCGAAGCTCGTTTTTCCCGAGTTTCCAGTTGTCTTGTACTCTCTGAAGTCGGAGATTTCCGAGTTCCCAGTTGTTTGAACGCTGTATAAAGGTTATCAAACGTGTCAACTTTGTGCGTGTCACTTCAGTCATCAGCAGGATGTTTGCTTTATTTACCCAGGACAAATCATGTGAAGCATTCACCAACTGCTTGCTATTTTTTCCCGACAGGGCTACACTTCCTTCTGGAATGACTGCATTTCTTCTGGTCTTCGAGGTTGTATGCTCATCGAACTGGCTTTGAGAGGGAGACTGCAGCTAGAGGCTTGTGGCATGAGGAGGAAAAGCCTACTGGCCAGAAAGGTCAGCACAACACGAATAAAACACACTGATGAACTTAGTTGTGTCAAAGATTTTTATAACTAACCCAAGATAGACCACAGCCTGTCGTCTTCTTCTATGGTATTATGGCGATTCGCAAACAAGCATTAGAGGTGCATGCCACCACCTACTGGATAGGTTGAAAACTGAGAAACCTTAGCGCAGAAATAATAAGCAGGGAAAAAACATTCTCCTAATATCCCCCCCCCCCCCCCCCCCCAAAAAAAAAAAAGTACTCCTTCAGTCAGATTCAAATGTGTACTCAGATCCCTACACAGGCTCGGGAGCCTGAGAAAGAGGAACATCTTCATTCAGTGTTCCCTGCATCGTTTCGGTCCTGGAGATCCAGTATTTCAGGATCCCTCTGATGAACAACATTCACTACAGGCTGTGGGGCATCCACTACCATTTCATCTCCACTCGCTCCTTCACCTATTTGTACTGCCTCCACAAACGAGACCTGCTGGAGAGCCCTGAACCTAGCTACTGCAACCTCCTTCACACTTAGAGGGCACTCCAGGAACTCAGGAATGTGGTTCCCACCATAATTGCAGCACCATGCTTCCTCACTCTATACCAATGACATATGTATTCCTCCTGCAAACTTTTTACAATTGTAACACTGCAGTGGTTTTTGTACATAATGTCTCACCGCATATCTCGCATACCCAAGTTTTACATGAGTCGGGAGAAACACTTCATCAAATGACAGTAAAGCCGATAGGCTTTCCTCCTTCTTTCCGTCTATCGTTCAGGTCAAGCGATGTGCGTCTACCACTCCTGGCATGTTCTCCCTAAACTGTGAAGCCTCCGTGTCCAACGAGACACCAGAGATGACACGTTTAATCGGTGCCCTACTCAGAAAATCATAGCTTTCCACATCATAGGTCGATAGCTTGCAAAGCCACAGAGCTTTTGCTCTTTTGACACACACAAAATCAACATCATACCGCGCCTGGTCACTCTGAACAATTCAATTTTTCCCAATACGTCCTTCACCATCTTCCAGACCGCAAATGGGTCACCCAAAAAACATCCTTGCTAATGAATTGCACTCCAACAATAAACTGCTGCTCATTTAAAACTTTAGCCCTTTTTACACCACTTTTCACCGATTACACTCATTCTCACCAATTTTACTCAACCCTACAGAATCACACAATGCTTCCGCCATTGCTCCCCACCACAGCCTGTCATTTCCAATGGGAGCAAATTAATCATAATGGGCAGAACAAACAAAGAGGTGGGCAGAGCAAAGCACGAGCTAGCAAGATCCTATTGGCACGTTCTAGCATGTATTTGCATATTTCTGTTTGGCAAAACTCAATTAGCCCTTGCACTCCTTCTAAACACAATTTTTAAAAACTTTGGCAAATGGTATAGATTCTAGTTTTTCAAACAGAGAACTGTATTGAGATCAGATGTTTCATCGACGAGAACATTTCCAGAATGTCGGCCAAAATCCATCTTCTGCCACTGGGCTTCCTCTCATCACCATATTTGGTGGTGAGTAGAAATGCCAACCAGATGCTTCAGATTTATACATCCGGTGAAACATCTGGCTCATTGTTCTATCTGTGGTTGTGTCTTTTTCTTCTTCTTTGAGTCTAATTGGCAGACTACAACCTAAAAGGTGTATTGCCGCCACCTACTGTACGGGGTAGTAATTTATTTATTTTTTAATAATAAAAAAAATAATAATATGCCATTTAGCAGACGCTTTTATCCAAAGCGACTTACAGTCATGCGTGCATACATTTTTTTGTGTATGGGTGGTCCCGGGGATCGAACCCACTACCTTGGCGTTACAAGCGCCGTGCTCTACCAGCTGAGCTACAGAGGACTTAATCCATTGCGGGAAAAGGTGGGGGGGGGGGGGGGAAACCCATCATAGAAATACAAAATACACATCATCAAACAAAACCCATCCCACTCCTTCAGTCACAGTACAATCCAAAACACATAATCCCTACACAGGCTCAGGGGCTTGTGAGTGCGGAACAGTTGTCGATAGGATTCCTTCCAAGGCCTCGGCTCTGAAATCACTGTACCAAAAACATTCAGCCGCACTCATAATGATGCAAATTTTCTCTGATTTTTTTTCTCCACTTGTGCTGTACAGTTTATGACCATTGCAATAAATTATACAAAGTCCACCTTTTTAACATGTAATACACTATATATACAAAAGTATGTGGACACCCCTTCAAATGATTGGATTCGGCTATTTCAACCACACCCGTTGCTGACAGGTGTATAAAATCAAGCTCACAGCCATGCAATCTCCATAGAAAATCATTGGCAGTAGAATGGCCTTACTGAAGAGCTCAGTGAATTTCAACGTGGCACCGTCATAGGATGCCACCTTTCCAACATGTCAGTTCGTAAAATTTCTGCCCTGCTAGAGCTGCCCTGGTCATCTGTAAATGCTGTTATTGTCAAGTGGAAATGTCTAGGAGCAACAACGGCTGAGCCGCGAAGTGGTAGGCCACACAAGCTCACAGAACGGGACCACCGAGTGCTGAAACACGTAGCACGTAAAAATCGCTTGTCCTCAGTTGCAACACTCACTACCGAGTTCCAAACTGCCTCTGGAAGCAACGTCAGCACAAGAACTGTTCGTCAGTCCCTTCAAGAAATAGGTTTCCATGGCCGAGCAGCCACACACAAGCCTAAGATCACCATGTGCAATGCCAAACGTCGGCTGGAGTGGTGTAAAGCTCGCTGCCATTGGACTCTGGAACATTGGAAACGCGTTCTCTAGGGTAAGAACGCTACCTGACCAAATACATCGTGACAACTGTAAAGTGTGGTGGAGGAGGAATAATGGTCTGGGGCTGTTTTTCATGGTTCAGGCTAGGCCCCTTAGTTCCGGTGAAGGGAAATCTTTACGCTACAGCATACATTGACATTCTAGACGATTCTGTGCTTCCAACTTTGTCACAACAGTTTGGGGAAGGCCCTTTCTTGTTTCAGCATGACAATGCCCCCGTGCACAAAGCGAGGTCCATACAGAAATGGTTTGTCGAGATTGGTGTGGAAGAACTTGACTGGCCTGCACAGAGCCCTGACCTCAACCCCTTCAAACACCTTTGTGGTGATTTGGAACGCCGACTGCGAGCCAGGGCCTAATCGCCCAACATCAGTGCCCGACCTCACTAATGCTCTTGTGGCTGAATGAAAGCAAGTCCCCGCATCAATGTTCCAACATCTAGTGGAAAGCCTTCCCAGGAAAGTGGAGGCTGTTATAGCAGCAAAGGGGGGACCAACACCCATATTAATGCCCATGATTTTGGAATGAGATGTTTGCCGAACAGGTGTCCACATACATTTGGTCAGTTGATTCCTCGCTTGGTGAGAAACCTTCATTGGTGGTGGTGGCTCTACTACCATTGTTTCTTCACCGCCACTCGCTCCTTCCACTCTTCTCACCGCCTCCAGATAGGAGACTCACTGGACAGCCCTTATTCTTGCCATCTCTATTTCCTTCACCCTAACAGGGCACTCCAGGAATTCAGGCGCATGTTCGCCACCACATTTCACCTCTGGCATACAATACTCTTCCCATCTGCATACACTTGCCACATGACCAAATATTTTGCATTTATCACACTTGATTGGCGTTGGCACGAAAGCTCTTACAGAATATCTCCTATAGCCTAACTTTATATGTGAAGGGAGAGACTGTTCATCAAAGAACAATAGTATGGAAGGAGTAAACTTCTTCACTCCATCCACTATACTGGTCAGTCGACATCTGCATTCACTTCCAGCACCACCCCAGAGATAACCTCTTTGATGGGAGCCTTTCTTTGAAGAGCCACACACGGCACATTACATTCTGATATCTTTTTGAGGCACAAAGCACGCTTCTTCTGCTCCACGTACACACACAACCACCAAATAAGACCATAAAAAAAACAATCAATATATTCAATCAATATACTTATTACGTTTTCACAATTATTCCCATACAGTGATGTAATAGTAATTCATCCTACAGGGGAAAAAAAGTATTACCCACCCACTTTTAACCTCACCCAATTTTTGTGGTGGCAGGACAACAACCTCTCCATTAATGTGAGCAAGACAAAGGAGATGATCGTGGACTACAGGAAAATGAGGGCCGAACAGGCCCCCATTAACATCGACGGGGCTGTAGTGGAGCGGGTTGAGAGTTTAAAGTTTATTGGTGTCCACATTACCAACAAAATATCATGGTCCAAACACACCAAGACAGTCGTGAAGAGGTCACGACAACGCCTTTTCCCCCTCAGGAGACTGAAAAGATTTGGCACGGGTCCCCAGATCCTCAAAGTTATACAGCTGCACCATCGAGAGCATCCTGACCGGTTGCATCACCGCCTGGTATGGCAACTGCTCGGCATCTGACTGTAAGGCGCTACAGAGGGTAGTGCGTAGGGCCCAGTACATCACTGGGGCCAAGCTTCCTGCCATCCAGGACCTATATACTAGGCGTGTCAGAGGAAGGCCCAAAAAATGGTCAAAGACTCCAGTCACCCAAGTCATAGACTGTTCTCTTTGCTACCACACGGCAAGCGGTACCGGAGCGCCAAGTATAGGTCCAAAAGGCTCCTTAACAGCTTCTACCCCCAAGCTATAAGACTGCTGAAGAATTAATAAAATGGCCACCCGGACTATTTTACATTGACTCGCTGTTTATTATCTATGCATAGTCACTTTACCCCTACCTACATGTACAAATTACCTCGACTAACCTGTACCCCCGCACATTGACTCGGTACCGGTACCCCCTGTATATAGCCTCGTTATTGTTATGTAATTTTATTGTGTAACTTTTTATTTTATTTTTTACTCTGGTTTATTTATTAATATTTTCTTAACTCTATTTCTTGAACTGCATTGTTGGTTAAGGGCTTGTAAGTATGCATTTCACGGAAAGGTCTACACCTGTTGTATTCGGCGCATGTGACAAATAAAGCTTGATTTGAATTTCCCATCTACCCTCTCCCCCACAACCCCACCCACCATCTCTTGCCTTGGCTGGGAAAAGAGCAGACAAATCACAATAAACAAGTCATAAACATATATAATAATAAGACAAACAAAGCAAAAACATAAAATAAAAGCAAATGAAAAAATAAGGTACAATTATTCAAACAATGGTATTAAATAGGTTGTTGAAGTACACTTATTGGTCTACATTTAGTCCAGTGGCGGTCAGTGCCATTTTAAGATGAGGGAGGATGTTTTTTTTTTCATGAGCATGGCCTTATTTCTATTACAGCATATTGGATGACTCTCATTCATATTCCATTCGACCAGTTCAATGTAACAGCAATAGGTTTAGGCTACTACATGATATTCTAATTTTCCCTATACCCATCATGAGGTTGCTACAACCTAGCCTATGAATGACAGTTTACAACGTAGGTGCACACAGGTCGAGAGACAAATTTGAGGTGACAGACATTGACACATGGACAGACAGTGACACATTCGATACCGCCTTGCACACTCTTTCCTGCATCTAGCTGATCTAGGGTGTAATTATTAGTCAAACAGTTGCAAACAAGTGTTTCTATTGGACAAATTCAGGTATGTTTATCTCTGTTTGTTTGCTTCCGTTTAAGAAACATTTTTCAACAGAATCGGCGGAATCAATACACCCCTGATCACGTGTAAACACCGTTCACTTTCATACCAGCCACGTTGTATTCCTTCTATGCGCTCTCCTCCTCTCACCTTGACCCTTCGCTTGTGGACTTCAATGCACACATCAGCTGTATGTGACCAGGCGAAAAAAAACATTCCAAGCCAAACCACTACACACAGCCTACATCGTTGTCACCATATTAGCTACAGTAACGTTATAGTCAGCATAGCTAATAGAACTAACGCGTTAGTAAACCTGCTACAATCATGCAGTAACGGTAGTGTACAGTCAGTAAGCAGTTACACCGGCAGGCCCTGGTGGCAATAATTACTAATAATAATTAGTAATACCAAAAGCTTACCTTGACTTGGAAGAGTTCCAGTGTTGTGTTGGAAAGTCATAGCCAGCTAGCTAACATAGCATCCCTCTGTTTGAGCAGGGTGTTTCAGTAGGCTAAACTAGCTAGCTGCATTTGCTAGCTGTGAAAGTGAAAAAAAAGATGACAATCTCTCTCTCTATTTCTCTCTTGCTTCTCCTTCATTTTGGAAGAAATTAATTTGTTCAAAACTGTTCCACTATTGTCTTTCTCGCTCTATGAGTCAACTACTCACCACATGTTATATGCTGCAGTGCTAGCTAGCTGTAGCTTATGCTTTCAGTACTAGATGAATTATCTGATCCTTTGATTGGGTGGACAACAAGGTTTTGTATTGAAGTCAATGTACCCAGAGGAGGACGGAAGCTAGCTGTCCTCCGGCTACACCATGGCTCTACCCTACAGAGTGCTGTTGAGACTACTATAGACCTTTGCAAAATAGTGTGTTTTCAGCAATTGTTTGGTGACGTTAATATATTTAGTATAGTTTCATCTAAAAAGGCTAACTTTTTTAAATGTTTTACAATTTAAATTTTTATGAAATTCACTGAGGATGGTCCTCCCCTTCCTCCTCTGAGGAGCCTCCACTGATTTAGTTGTACATTTCAATTAATTTATTCATTTTTATTTATCATTATGCTTTCCTAAATAGTTCCATCTGACATGCTCGTCTTGTTTAGTCACATGCAGAGTTATTTAATAGTCTGCGACAGTGCCTCGCAGACTGACCTCCGTGACCCCCGGCCACTCCACATACCAATCCACTCCGACACCAGCACACCAGACCGTGCAGGTCAAGGGTTTGCTAGTTAAGCGGCTACAGTTCCTTGGCCCTTGACTTATTCCACATTTGGTTGTGTGACAGCCTGAATTCAAAATTGATTAAATAGATTTGTTTTCTCACCCATCTACACACAATACCCCATAATGTCAATGGGAAAACATGTTTTTATAAATGTTTGCACATTTATTGAAAATGAAATACAGAATTATCTCATTTACATAAGAATTCACACCCCCTGAGCAATGATCAACAACTTTACAGATCTTGAAGAATTATTTTAACAATAATGGACAAATATTATACAATCCAGGTGTGCAAAGCTCTTAGAGACTTACCCCAAAAGACTTAAAGCTGGAATCGCTGCCAAAGGTGCTTAATTTTTATTAATTTTAAAAGGACATCTACAAACAAAATTCCACTTTGACATTATGCTGTATTGTGTGTAGATCAGTGACACAATTAAAATATACAGTGAGGGAAAAAAGTATTTGATCCTCTGCTGATTTTGTACGTTTGCCCACTGACAAAGACATGATCAGTCTATCATTTTAATGGTAGGTTTATTTGAACAGTGAGAGACAGAATAACAACAACAAAATCCAGAAAGACGCATGTAAAAAAAAATATAAATTGATTTGCATTTTAATGAGGGAAATAAGTATTTGACCCCCTCTCAATCAGAAAGAGTTCTTCTCCCAAGTGTCTTTTAGTTACATTTTACATTTTAGTCATTTAGCAGACGCTCTTATCCAGAGCGACTTACAGTTAGTGAGTGCATTCATTATTTATTTTTTATTTTTTGAAAGATTTCATACTGGCCCCCCGTGGGAATCGAACCCACAACCCTGGCGTTGCAAACGCCATGCTCTACCAACTGAGCTACATCCCTGCCGGCCATTCCCTCCCCTATCCTGGACGACGCTGGGCCAATTGTGCGCCGTCGCATGGGTCTCCCGGTCGCGGCCGGCTACGACAGAGCCTGGATTCGAACCAGGATCTCTAGTGGCACAGCTAGCACTGCGATGCAGTGCCTTAGACCACTGTGCCACTCGGGAGATTTTATACAGGTAACGAGCTGAGATTAGGAGCACACTCTTAAAGGGAGTGCTCCTAATCTCAGTTTTTTACCTGTATAAAAGACACCTGTCCACAGAAGCAAACAATCAATCAGATTCCAAACTCTCCACCATGGCCAAGACCAAAGAGCTCTCCAAGGATGTCAGGGACAAGATTGTAGACCTACACAAGGCTGGAATGGGCTACAAGACCATCGCCAAGCAGCTTGGTGAGAAGGTGACAACAGTTGGTGCGATTATTCGCAAATGGAAGAAACACAAAATAACTGTCAATCTCGCTCGGCCTGGGGCTCCATGCAAGATCTCACCTCGTGGAGTTGCAATGATCATGAGAATGGTGAGGAATCAGCCCAGAACTACACGGGAGGATCTTGTCAATGATCTCAAGGCAGCTGGAACCATAGTCACCAAGAAAACAATTGGTAACACACTACGCCGTGAAGGACTGAAATCCTGCAGCGCCCGCAAGGTCCCCCTGCTCAAGAAAGCACATATACAGGGCCGTCTGAAGTTTGCCAATGAACATCTGAATGATTCAGAGGAGAACTGGGTGAAAGTGTTGTGGTCAGATGAGACCAAAATGGAGCTCTTTGGCATCAACTCAACTCGCCGTGTTTGGAGGAGGAGGAATGCTGCCTATGACCCCAAGAACACCATCCCCACCGTCAAACATGGAGGTGGAAACATTATGCTTTCGGGGTGTTTTTCTGCTAAGGGGACAGGACAACTTCATCGCATCAAAGGGACGATGGACGGGGCCATGTACCGTCAAATCTTGGGTGAGAACCTCCTTCCCTCAGCCAGGGCTTTGAAAATGGGTCGTGGATGGGTATTCCAGCATGACAATGACCCAAAACACACGGCCAAGGCAACAGAGGAGTGGCTCAAGAAGAAGCACATTAAGGTCCTGGAGTGGCCTAGCCAGTCTCCAGACCTTAATCCCATAGAAAATCTGTGGAGGGAGCTGAAGGTTCGAGTTGCCAAACATCAGCCTCGAAACCTTAATGACTTGGAGAAGATCTGCAAAGAGGAGTGGGACAAAATCCCTCCTGAGATGTGTGCAAACCTGGTGGCCAACTACAGTGGGGGAAAAAAGGATTTAGTCAGCCACCAATTGTGCAAGTTCTCCCACTTAAAAAGATGAGAGGCCTGTAATTTTCATCATAGGTACACGTCAACTATGACAGACAAAATGAGAAAAAAATCCAGAAAATCACATTGTAGGATTTTTATTGAATATATTTGCAAATTATGGTGGAAAATAAGTATTTGGTCAATAACAAAAGTTTCTCAATACTTTGTTATATACCCTTTGTTGGCAATGACACAGGTCAAACGTTTTCTGTAAGTCTTCACAAGGTTTTCACACACTGTTGCTGGTATTTTGGCCCATTCCTCCATGCAGATCTCTTCTAGAGCAGTGATGTTTTGGGGCTGTCGCTGGGCAACACGGACTTTCAACTCCCTCCAAAGATTTTCTATGGGGTTGAGATCTGGAGACTGGCTAGGCCACTCCAGGACCTTGAAATGCTTCTTACGAAGCCACTCCTTCGTTGCCCGGGCGGTGTGTTTGGGATCATTGTCATGCTGAAAGACCCAGCCATGTTTCATCCTTCAATGCCCTTGCTGATGGAAGGAGGTTTTCACTCAAAATCTCACGATACATGGCCCCATTCATTCTTTCCTTTACACGGATCAGTCGTCCTGGTCCCTTTGCAGAAAAACAGCCCCAAAGCATGATGTTTCCACCCCCATGCTTCACAGTAGGTATGGTGTTCTTTGGATGCAACTTAGCATTCTTTGTCCTCCAAACACGACGAGTTGAGTTTTTACCAAAAAGTTATATCTGACCATATTACATTCTCCCAATCCTCTTCTGGATCATCCAAATGCACTCTAGCAAACTTCAGACGGGCCTGGACATGTACTGGCTTAAGCAGGGGGACACGTCTGGCACTGCAGGATTTGAGTCCCTGGCGGCGTAGTGTGTTACTGATGGTAGGCTTTGTTACTTTGGTTCCCAGCTCTCTGCAGGTCATTCACTAGGTCCCCCCGTGTGGTTCTGGGATTTTTGCTCACCGTTCTTGTGATCATTTTGACCCCACGGGGTGAGATCTTGCGTGGAGCCCCAGATCGAGGGAGATTATCAGTGGTCTTGTATGTCTTCCATTTCCTAATAATTGCTCCCACAGTTGATTTCTTCAAACCAAGCTGCTTACCTATTGCAGATTCAGTCTTCCCAGCCTGGTGCAGGTCTACAATTTTGTTTCTGGTGTCCTTTGACAGCTCTTTGGTCTTGGCCATAGTGCAGTTTGGAGTGTGACTGTTTGAGGTTGTGGACAGGTGTCTTTTATACTGATAACAAGTTCAAACAGGTGCCATTAATACAGGTAATGAGTGGAGGACAGAGGAGCCTCTTAAAGAAGAAGTTACAGGTCAGTGAGAGCCAGAAATCTTGCTTGTTTGTAGGTGACCAAATACTTATTTTCCACCATAATTTGCAAATAAATTCATAACAAATTCCTACAATGTGATTTTCTGGAGAAAAAAATTCTCAATTTGTCTGTCATAGTTGACGTGTACCTATGATGAAAATTACAGGCCTCTCTCATCTTTTTAAGTGGGAGAACATGCACAATTGGTGGCTGACTAAATACTTTTTCCCCCCACTGTACAAGAAACGTCTGACTGCCTCTGTGATTGCCAACAAGGGTTTTGCCACCAAGTACTAAGTCATGTTTTGCAGAGGGGTCAAATACTTATTTCCCTCATTAAAATGCAAATCAATTTATAAAAAATTTTTTACATGTGTGTTTCTGGATTTTTTTGTTGTTATTCTGTCTCTCAATGTTCAAATAAACCTACCATTAAAATTATAGACTGATCATTTCTTTGTCAGTGGGCAAACGTACAAAATCAGCAGGGGATCAAATACCATTTTCCCTCACTGTGTGTGTATATATACATATATTTTAAATTCAGGCTGTAACACAAGGCATTGTAGCTTCTTGTTGCTCTAACTGATGCCACATTACCCAATGCATCCATGAATTTTATTGATGTTGATCAGATGTCCCAGGAAACTCTATTGGTCCAAATCCCTCACTCTGACTAAAAACGAGTCAGAACTAGGCTTTGTTTTATTTCCTTTTTTTTACGCAACTGTTAACCCACTCTTATCTTCTTCCAACGCGCCGTCACCACAGCTGTCGGTTTCACACAGAACATCCACACAGAACGGGGTATGGTAGTAGGTACCAGGCACACCGGTTTGTGTCAAGAACTGCAATGCGGCCGGGTTTTTCATGCTTAACATTTTCCCGTGTATCAAGAATGGTCCACCACCCAAAGGACATCCAGCCAACTTGACATAACTGTGGGAAGCATTGGAATCAACATGGGCCAGCATCCCTGTGGAGGCTTTCATCGTCCATCACTCTAGCCGCTAGGCTACCTGCCGTGTGTGTGTGGTAGACCAGCAGTGTCTGCCAACGCTAGCAGTTTATGCTTATGTGTGTCTATCCCAATGTTACAGTAAGGTTGTTATGTGTGAGAAATCTACCTTTTTTAAACTGGTATCTATTTTGTCAGGTTATCTGTAAGTCAGCCGCCCCTACAGGAGACATGTTGCTGGACGAGGCTCTGAAGCATATCAAAGACACCCAGCCCCCAGAGACAGTCCAGAGCTGGATAGAGCTGCTGAGTGGTGAGAAGCCATATTGAATACGCCCACCCTCCATTACTCCCCCTATCTTTAAAGTACTTTATTTTTTGGTGCTATATCTCTCTGTCTTCCGTTCTTAGTGTTTAGTTCTTGATTATCATCATGATGATTTGATATTACCACACTGCCCCCTACCCTCCTCTCCCCTTCCCAGTCCTGTTTGAAATGAAACGTGTTTATCTTGATGTTTTTTTTTTAAACAATAGCTAGCCTATTTGGTTTCCAAGTGAAATTGTACAGAAATTACCCGTAATTTGTTTTGGTGTCCAGGTGAGACGTGGAACCCATTGAAGCTGCACTACCAGCTGAGGAATGTCCGTGAACGTCTGGCCAAGAACCTTGTCGAGAAAGGCGTTCTGACCACAGAGAAACAGAACTTCCTCCTCTTTGACATGACCACACACCCGCTGACCAACGACACCATCAAACAGCGGCTGGTCAAGAAGGTCCAGGAGTCTGTCCTGGACAAGTGGGTGAACGACCCGGGGCGCTTCGACAAGCGCGTGCTGGCCCTGATCTTCCTGGCCCACTCGTCGGACGTGCTGGAGAATGCCTTCGCTCCGCTGCTGGACGAACAGTATGACCTGGCCATGAAGAGGGTACGTCTGCTGCTGGACCTGGAGCCAGAGGCGGAGAGCACCAAGGCCAGCGCCAACGAGCTGCTGTGGGCCGTGGTGGCTGCCTTCACCAAATGAAGCCCTACCGGAAACAAACGAGAGACGGAACTTTAAAAAACACTATAGACCTCTGGGGCTCAGAGCTCTCAGATCTCCCATGTTCTGATATGACGACAACGATGATGATGATGATGATGATGATGAAGATCACGAAGCACGGCTCTCCCTCTATATTGAGACAGTGCTGTGACCCCTGACCTCTCGGAGTCACTGTCCTGTTCTCTTCTGGCCAGTTGGTTGACATCCAGTACCCTGTGGGTTCGTCCCAAATGGCACCCTGTTCCCCATATAGTGCACTTTTTGACCAGGGCCCATATGGCTCTGATCAAAAATAGGCACTACATGGGGAATGGGGTGCCATTTGGGTTGTGGCCTTTCTGTTCACTGTGAGACCTAGTGTAACTTTAAGCACTTGCGTCAGTAGCTGGCACCCACCAAGGTCTGTGTCCTTCCTTTTAGGAGGGACTTTAAAACCGCCAGGTTTTGCTTGACCCATGGCCCAGACCTACCACGATGACCTGATATGATCATACAGAATATCATTCTTTGTCTTTTTTCTTTTGTGTTAGTCACTTTGAGGTTTTTAGACATGACGTATAGATCTCATGTCTGTTTGTTGTTAATAAATGTTAACCATCTCCAAACCATTTTGCACATTCAACACGGGATATAGAAGTGTTTACTATTTGTAAAAACAGAAAAAATACTGAAGTTGAATTCCAAGCACCCTTTATTTTGTTCAGGGTACCAACCAGTGCATGCTTTATTCCTGTTCAGTTTTACTTTATGTCCCCCTCTCCATTTACTAAAGAATCGTAGCTTGTGCTTACCATCAGTTTCAGATGGGTGACTGTTCTCTGCAACTCTATCATCCTATTCCAGATATTGCACGTCTCCTCTTTGCAGGCAAACTGGTTTCGGGTATACATGTGTGCAAAGTCATATTTTGAAGAGGTACGGTTTCCAAGAAAGAAATTCTCTCAAATTGGCCAAATATCTATATCATTTAGTTAGTGTATTGAAAAAGGATATTGTGGCATATGACTGGGTAGAAGAAACATCTCCTAAAACGGGCTAATTATATTTTATACATATCCCTCTCTGGCAGTATAATCTTACCGCTTTTGATTTTATGCCATAATATGTATATTTTATTTTCTATTGAGCCAATTTCTATTGCTTTAATATAATTCACATAATTACATTCATATTTAATTGGTCGTCATCAATGGTTTGGGCCTTTTCTCTTCTCTTCTATGCCCGCTAGTTAGTTGTACTGTTCATCACTAAGAGTTGGCCCTAACTACTGCAGGGTCAGATACTATTTGATCTGCCGAAATGTTAGGACAGGGGGAAGGATTATCTGATCCTAGATCTGTGGTTAGGGCTAACTTCTACCTTGAGCGTTTGGTTCATCTGGAGGGTGTACAGACTAAGTATGGTGGAGGGATTGGATGGGGAAGATTATATAGTATGGATGTCCTGAGAGGAACTAATTATAATATCGAATTTGATCAATGAATGTACAGTGTAATGAAAATGAAAGGGATCTTCTGTATACGTCTGTATGCTTTTTTTTACCACACAATAAAGGATGGATCTTTTAAGTGCCTGAATATAGCACTGTGTAGCTCTCCTGTCTTTATCTGCCCTCTTTGTATCATAATTCCTAGAATTAATTACCAGTATTCAAAACAGCCGCCTCCAGATTGATTGTACTACAACAAAGTGTAAAAGGGAATCACCATCTGACTGAGACATATAGCCTGTTGTCTGACTTTTTTATTTTAACATGAAAAACAATAACAATGGATAACTAACTTCACAAGATGCAGTTTTTGAACACAACTTTAAATGGCAGGTAGTAATTCATGAAAGAAAAATTACTCAAGGCCTCTGGCCTAACATAACACATTAAAGCACTTTGAAGGCCACTTTGTGTCCATGATCTCCATGTAGTTGAGCATGATAGGACACTTGTCCCCAACAACAGATGGTCCTCATTTGTTTCATCACACTTTGTAGGATAGGTTTTTTGGCTCTGGATCCCCTTTTCCAGTCTGATCGTCCATATGACTGACCACAGGTCTGGCAAATGCAGTGGTGGAAAGTACTTAAGTAAAAAATACGTGAAAGTACTACATAAGTAGTTTTTTCGGGTATATGTACTTTACTAATATTTTTGACTACTTTTACTTTTACCTTACTACATTCCTAAAGAAAATTATGTACTTTTTACTCCATATATTTTCCCTGATACCCAGAAGTACTCGTTACATTTCTCATGCTTAGCAGGACAGGAAAATTGTCAAATTCACGCACTTATCAAGAGAACATCCCTGGTCATCCCTACTGCCTCTGATCTGGCGGACTCAATAAACACAAATGCTTCGTTTGTAAATTATGTCTGAGTGTTAGTGTGCCGCTGGCTATACGTAAATTTTTTAAAAAGAAAATCGTTCCATCTGGTTTGCTTAATGTAAGGAATTTTAAACGATTTTTACTTTTATACTTTTTGTACTTAAGTATATTTGAGCAATTACATTTACGTTTGATACTTAAGTATATTTAAAAACAAATACTTTTTTACTTTTACTTGAGTCATTTTCTATGAAGGTATCTTTATTTTTACTCAAGTATGAAAATTGGGTACTTTTTCCACCACTGGCCAAATGTCAAACGACACATGGCGGTCCACTGGTTTTGCCATTACAATGTCACAGGTTCACTGTTCACTCCTCCATGACTTCGTGGGGAGCACCAGCCACCTTGGTATTGATTGTGGGACAGGTCCAGGCAGAGTATCCTCTTGACTTCACCTCAGGTGGACGCAAATGCGCCTCTGAACCACGGAGGGCGAACTGGAACCCCCCATCCCGGCCACAGCATGTTTAACAAAACCGCTGCCCTCAGGAACGGAGGTAGTATTCTGTCTTCTTGTTTCCGTGATCTTCAATGAGTGGGTCCCTCACTTCACTTTTATTATATTCTTGTAATGTGTTGTCAATATTTCCAACAATTTGGATCTCCTGTCCAGGACGTCACGAGCGAGGACGTCTCCAACTTTACGCAGCTGATGCGCACAGTCCAGAACGGCAGTTAGATCTGGAGAGAAGAGAAAGTAATCGTTTAGTCGGTCAGTTTAACATAGGATAATGTCTCATTTGTGGTAAAATCGTAAGTACAAAATTAAATGACGAAAATATTATTCGCTGGTGCGTAATTACCTTTTCCGGTCATATTGCGTTTGCGTTCTGTTTCTTTGTTGAGCTCTTCCAGAGTTCTGTTGTGCTTGTGGTACAGAGTAGATTGGGTATCCGAATGTATGAAGCTCTGTAAGGCTTGTCAGTCAGCAGTGAGATTTCTGCTGAAGTCAGAATTTAACTTCTTTATATAGCCTTGGTGACGTAAGTTGTGGATCCCCAGTGCTAGTCTCGCCTCCCAAACAGCTGCTGTTTTACCGTCATGCTCAGTCCTCTTTGTAATTACAATGTTGTGTGCTGTGTTTCCTCAAAGATTACTTTGCAATCAAATAGGCAGCTGATTATCATTGTAGGCTAATTCACTTGGAAGGAACATAATGATATGTCCATGCCTGTGTGGAATGAAATTGTGTTGATACACCATTTGTACAGTGATTTTCAGTCAACTTCTCACACAACACTTCTGCAGGGTTAACCATACCCAAAACGTTTTGTTGCATATAGAGGTGACCACAGACTCACCACATCATAAAGCTATTAGTTAGGCTACATACATACCGGTATATTCTATTTCTAATAATACATATTGTATAATTGGTGGTTTGTGGGGTGGGCCTAGAAAAAAACATACATTACAATATCCAAAAAGTAATTCTGCAGATTGCCTTGGCCCTCACTGACCATGGGTGCCCAATGATCCAAGTAAAGGTTAATTAAGGACTATAGATAGTTACACTATTTTATATTATTTTGTGGAACAAAAAGATACTCATACATATCTGAAATATTGATGCGTAAAATATTAGACAGTTACCTAATTAAATGTAATATTAGAAAATGTCAATTAGGGATATTCTCTTGGCCTCCACTTGAAAGTTGATTGGCACAGTGCACTTTCCATTGCAGCAAACAACAGTCCATATAATCTGTCAAAAGTGATGCTGTGTATGTTAGGAACACAACACCTGCAATCAATAGCATGTTGGGTTAGGACATAACGTTATTCGAGTGATATGACTGGGAAAGCTTGCACACTTACATAAAACAGTCATAAAAATTTATTGGTTTGCTCAATGTACGAGTTGATAGATGGAATAACAATGCAGGACAGGAGCATCTGTCCATGTCTTATAAAACAGTTCACCTGTGATTGGAATATACCTCAATTGATAAAATGACAAACGACGATTGATAAGGCTAGATTGTGCAATATTGGCAGGTTGTTTCTAATAAATGCCAATGCATTTGAGGAATTTGTGTCTCTATTGAACATTACAGAGCATCATTGACCTTAGGCTAGATCCCCAAATATGACATTTTTTAGGTTTATTTCAGGCCAGGGCACTCACTGCAAATGTTTATGGGTTTTCAAACAATATTCCATGTGTTTCAAAGGCCTGCACTGGCACCAGATGATGTGGACATAATTTCCCTCCTATCATGAGTGTTCTCATATCCCTGGTCACAACAGTATTAGCAGTGACTAACATGTTATGGCTTGTCCTGTATTGTGGGCATGTCTATCAGATGTGGGGAAGTACTGTACAGTTCTGTAGTGAGTGCACCTGTTGTCAGCTGACTCCTGGGTCATATTCATTAATACACACTGTAGCAAAACGTTTTGCATCAGAAAAGGAAAATAAGGGTTTCTTATTGGAGAAGTTCAGGTAGTCCCACCCTGTTTCAGTCTGTTTTCTTTCCATTTGGTGCCTAAAGAATATGACCCTTGGTTGAACCCAGAGTCCCAATGAACCACTGTTCCAAGGAGCTTAGCAGAATTCTAGAACACAAATGTTATCTTATCTTTACTTAAGGTCAACTATGTGTACTTTATGACACATCCTAAACAGTGTGTCAAGGAAGATTTTAGAGGATGTTTTCATATTAGATGTTGAGCAAACATGCTTCTGTTTATGATTTTTTTTAATGCTATATTTCTTTCCCCCTTTAGTTTTATAATGAACTGATGCAAAGGAAATGTGTTTTTAGTGAATATAAGCCTATCACACAGTATACTGTGTCATATTCTATACTGTACTTCCCAGAACATGGCAGGTAGCCTAGCAGTTAGAATGTTGGGTCAGTAAACTAAAGGTTGCTAGTTCAAATCCCAGTGCTGACAAGGTGAAAAATCTATTGATGTGCCCTTGAGCAAGGCACTTAACCCTAATTGCTCCAGGGCCGTCATTGAGAATGGTTGACCCTGGCTGTGACCCCACTCTTCGAAGGTGTCTTAGGGGGAGTTGGGATACTCAAAAAACACATTTCCAATTCACACATGTGTATTATACACACTTGTGCATGTGTGAAATTGGACAAATATTAGCACCCACCAAAGTATTATTTATTATGTGCTGCTACTACAACTCTATTACAAGGTCATTTATAGAATAATTCAGGCCCTATTACTTTCATAGTGATTGCCAAAAGTAGTTTTTTTTACTGTTACAAAATGTATCCTTTCTGACAATACAGAGACTTTCTGTATATGTAATAATAATATATAACTTTTTATGTAATGGCATAAAGACTGTAAATGTAACTTTTAAAATGAGGAACATAGGCTAAGAGCTAATTTCTGCTTGATCCTCAAATGTGGTTGGAGTCGCCGAATGGCTGGTGTGACGCAATTGCAGAGCCTCCCGGAGGCATGCAGAGGCCAAATTGAGCCCTGTACAGTATCGCTGTGGCCACTCACATTTTGTAACAATGCTGAGCTCGCCATATAGTTCCGCATTGACATGATTGGTTGACAGTAGGTGAGGGCGGGATGTCCTTTATAAACACAAACTCACTTCCTTGTCAACTTCCTTCACGACAGCTCTGCGCTGCTCCGCGAAGCGCAAGAAGCATGAATGCCCTGACTTATGCAGAGGCTATATCACCGTAAATGCTGCACGGCCAATGCAGACAGCGAATTGATCATGTTACGCCTTTAACTGTAAGCAGGACCACAATCAGAGAACACCATTTCCCACAATTCAATATACCGTTTACCTCCGGATGCATCGAAGCGGCCGCAAACTTGCGCCACTGACTTCTAGATCACCTGAACAGGAAGAAAGCCTCTTGCTGAATTTACTTCGTCCAGTTCATTTGGTAGGAAGATCTGGTAAACCGCGCAGGTTCTGACAAGACAAGCCATTCTTGATTTGCAGGCCTTTATATCGCGCCTTCACAGCATCCGCGTACACGACACTCGAGCTTATACAGTGAAACATTGCACGTAAGTACTGTATTGTTGTTGCTAATGTTGCTATGTATATTTCCTACCTGGAGCAAACAATGGCGCAAACCTAAATGCAACATTGTAACCGTGCTGCAAGAACTTTACAAACTCGATTGATCGTGATACATTTTTGCATTCTTGGTTAATTCAGGCCTACCTATCAAGAGTATGCGCGTGCTATTTGCTACAGTAGCTCAACGAGTTGTGCAATAATTCGAGCGAATCAGTGCTAAATTGCAAATGGATATAATAATAAACATAACAATTACTTGAACTTGCATATTCGGTGGTCACGTGGACTACATCTGGGTCAGCGTGAGGGAACCGTGTAGTAATTGTTCTGGCCTGGAAAATGTACAGTGAAAATGTTATAGATTTCTGTATATATCGACATCAATTGTTATACATTGTCTATCTGCCTGTAGAAAAGGGTTCTTTGCGGAGGGATAGGGTTCTACCAAGAACCATTTTGATCAGAATAACTCTTTTTGGAAGACGATGATTTGATGATTTTTTGTAAGGCAAAGGGTTCTACCTAGAACCTTTAACATCCTAAGAACCGTTTTTGGAAGAAAGGGTTCTTTGGTGTTTTGTTGGAAGGCAAGAATGGTTCTACATAGAACCATGTATAATATTTCCCAGCATGCAGCGAGATTTTCAGTTTTACTGTAATTTCAGTTTTTGCGTGTACATTGATTGGTTAATACATTTTATGCTACACAAAGATAAATACTATACAGTTTTCTAAACTAATCCAATCTGTTGGATTTATTGCACCCGTTACTGAGATGGTTGTTATACTTTAGATGATTGAGGTAGTCAATTCCACTTGTTGGATATCCTAACTCTGGCTGGATTCCAATAGGTATTACACACCACTTTGCAAGCCAGCATAATGTGACTTGAAGGCCTGATGTAGCCTGTAAACCAGGAGATTCCTAACACCACTGTGTTAGTGTATAACTAGGCCACAGATAGTATAATGAGACCAATTTTTCACCAGATCGCAATACAGTTTTCTGTTCCCAAAACTACAATCTGTTACGAACAGAGTGGACTAAGTTTAGTAGACTTTACCCTTTGCCAAAGGTTTAAAAAATTGCGTTGTTTAGAAGGAGTGCAAAGGCGAATTGAGTTATTGCACACACACACTTCAGAGTAGGCGTTCCCTAACTGAAATATGCAAATGCATGCTAGAACGAGTCAATAGGATCTCGCTAGTTCGTGCTTGGCTCTGCCAACCTCCTTGCTTGTTTTGCCCACAATGGCTAATTAGTTCCCATTTGAAACGACAGGCTGTGGTCTACCTTGGTTAAGTTATACAAATCTTTGACTAGGCCCTCAAAGAAAGGCCTTATGATATATGTAATGTATTGTCCTAAATTATACAATTTTAAAGGCTAGTAAGGCTGGTAGAACTGTTCATAGAGGGTTCTAGGAAGAACCCTCCAAAGATAAAATGGTTCTCAGTAGAGCCATTCATAGATGGTTCTAGGAAGAACCTTTAAATGACAAAATGGTTATTGGAAGAACCCTTCATTTTTTTACATTTTAGTCATTTAGAAGACGCTCTTATATATATATATATATATATATAGGGTTCTACCAGCACCAAAGAGTTCTGCCCAGCACCAAAAATGGTTCCCCTATGGGGACAAACCTAAGAATCCTACTTAGCACCTTTTTTTCTAAGAGTGTATTATAGACTAGGTCACTAATAATCATTAATCTGCTAACTACTTTATAATGCATTGCACACAGTAACAAACAAACATAATAAAGCACATTATCAGAGGTTACACCTCAATAGAACAAAATCATGCACATTGGAATGTAGATTTATTTAGAAAACATTGTGCATTGAATTCTTACGAAAGGGTGGTATTTACTCAGTCATTGCATCCATCTTTTTCCAGGATGCCCAAATCAAAGGAAGTTCTGTCATCTACCTCTGGCAGTGGCAGTGCCAGTGACTCAGACAGTGAGGCTGAGACCAAGGTAAAGAGACACACCCTTCCCCTGCTCCTAAACACAACCACGAAGTAAAGACATTGTGGTTCAGTCAAAATAATTGAAAAGGACACAAATATTTCAAAATGCTCAAATATACATAGATTAAATGTGGAAGCTGTGTTTTTATATAGCTGCATATATTTTAGCAGGTTGACATTTATTGGGATGAGTCATGCAGAACTGAGCGATTTCTGCTAGATGGACCAGCTGCAAAGTAAAAAAAAAAGGCTATATTGTAGAAATTCATGAAAACAAAAATGTGCTTTTTGGTCATAATTTAAGGTTATGCTTAGGCATTAGGGTTAGCAGTGTGGTTAGGGTAAAGATTAGGGTGAGGTTTAATATCTGATTTTATGACTTTGTGGCCTTCCCAGTGAGTGACCACTGCAGAGCTGCCTCCAGAACAAGATTCATGGCGAAAAACACTAACCTGCTAAAGTTCTTATTGTAATCAGAGGTTTCCTTTTGCACTTTCAGAACAGAAAGTATATTTTTATATGTATGGAAATGAACCCCTGTTGTAGGCCAAGAAGAGAAAGCAAGCAGTACCAGAGAAACCAGCAGCTAAGAAACCGAAAGGAGGAGAGAGTTCCAAGCCTGGTGGAACCTCCAAGGGAAGCAGCAACAAGGACAAGGATGACAACAAGTTCCAGGTAAGGAGTGAAGAAGAATAACTTTTATTTTTTTATTTTTTTTATTGAGATCAGAGCTCTGTCTTGCTGCTCGACCAGACTCCAGCACAGAAGAAAACTGTGTCAGTCCATCCCCAGTACAAAAGATGCAACATTAGTTGCATGTCGATATCAGACCATTTGCAAACCATGGACACAATTTGAGGTCAAAGCACGCTGGTACGAAAAACTACCCTAAAATATGAAAAAAATAGGCTTCTAGTTGGCACTAGTTGGTGGTTTTTGACTCAACTGTTTGAAGTTGGAGCTGAGCCAATTAGAGGAGTTGGGCAAGGAGACAAATATCTAGCTCTCCACTCCGTCCACCACGTAGTCGTACTATTTTCCTCCCTCGAGCTGGATGGCAACTCTCCACTTTGCCTGTTGATACTAGTGATGTGTTAGGAAAAAGGGTAGGGAAAATGGAGAACGAACAGTTTGTTAAATACATTTTCCAAAATGTTATGTGGAATTTGACTGAGGTCATGACTCCTGACTGCCGGTGTGGCGGTAATATGGTCACCTTAACAGCACTAGTGTAGCCTACCGTTCCTACTGAGACAGTCTTCTGCCAACATCATTATTAGGCAAAAAAAAGTGCATTTGCCTATGATTTTAGCAATGTGGGTGTTGCATGCGTGCCGTCATGGAGCCCGCAGGGCCGAGGGTGCCACCGCTGCGCTGAAGTGGTACTCGTAAAAATTATTCAAAGTTGTCAGGTCAGCGATATGGTTGTGTGTCTTTTACGTTAATCTTTTTTATTTCAGATTGGGAAGATGAGGTATGTGAGTGTTCGTGAATTCAAAGGGAAATGTCTGATTGACATCCGTGAGTACTGGATGGACCAGGAGGGAGAGATGAAGCCGGGCAGGAAAGGTAAGATCTGTCACTGGGGTGTGACGCCTACAGCAGGACCCTGGCCCCTGAGCACACAGTCATGCTGTTACTCTACAAACACACATGGATTTGGAATGATGAATCATTGGTTCAAATAGTTTTATCGTCATTTCGGTGCGTCAACCAATGAGTTAAAACTGTTTATTAATGGTTTATAAACTCCATAAGCCCTTTACAAACATTTTTAAAAGGATAACAAATGTTAAGCGTTATCACAATTTCAATGTGTATTTTTCCACCTCTATACCGAGACACACTACACACAGTGGTACCCAGATGTCATGTTTGACATCAGGTCCAGTGATGCTACTTTTCTGGATTCATTAACTGAACCTAGATCAATTTACTTTCCTCTGTCTAACTTGTCTCTGTTTTATCCCCAGGTATCTCACTAAACCCAGAGCAGTGGAACCAGCTGAAGGATCAGATCTCTGAGATAGACGACGCTGTGAAGGCGATATAAGAGGGAGGCCTCTGGCTGCCTGGGATTTACCATCCACAACCTTACATTCTGTTTTTGTTCTTAACTTTACCACCATTTTTATATTGTTAGTGCAACATTTTTAAAGAAAGAGACCAACATTTTTTAAGTGACTGACCAAGACAACATTGTGTATATTTTAAGCTTTAAGTTTCTGTTTACGTCTTCTTGTGCTGTGTTTGAAAACCCAATGTACGTTATGCTTGTTGAGTGCTTCAGATGTAGCTGTGTGTGTGTGTGTGTGTCATATTGGGTTTGCTATAATAAGTAATCAATAAAAGCCATTTAAAGGGACTACATTTTGTTGAAATGTTTTTATTATTACAAAAGTTTGTATCACTTCTGTATGTCAGCTTGTCAATGAGGATGTTTAACTGTTCTCCAGATACAGTGGGGAGAACAAGTATTTGATGCACTGCCGATTTTGCAGGTTTTCCTACTTACAAAGCATGTAGAGGTCTGTAATTTTTATCATAGGTACACTTCAACTGTGAGAGACGGAATCTAAAACATTTGCATGACATAAGTATTTGATCACCTACCAACCAGTAAGAATTCCGGCTCTCACAGACCTGTTAGTTTTTCTTTAAGAAGCCCTCCTGTTCTCCACTCATTACCTGTATTAACTGCACCTGTTTGAACTCGTTACCTGTATAAAAGACACCTGTCCACACACTCAATCAAACAGACTCCAACCTATCCACAAAGGCCAAGACCAGAGAGCTGTGTAAGGACATCAGGGATACAATTGTAGACCTGCACAAGGCTGGGATGGGCTACAGGACAATAGGCAAGCAGCTTGGTGAGAAGGCAACAACATTTACATTTTTACATTTACGTCATTTAGCAGACGCTCTTATCCAGAGCGACTTACAAATTGGTGCATTCACCCTATAGCCAGTGGGATAACCACTTTACAATAATTTTATTTTTCTTTTGATTTTTTTTTGGGGGGGTAGAAGGATTACTTTATCCTATCCCAGGTATTCCTTAAAGAGGTGGGGTTTCAAATGTCTCCGGAAGGTGGTGAGTGACTCCGCTGTCCTGGCGTCGTGAGGGAGCTTGTTCCACCATTGGGGTGCCAGAGCAGCGAACAGTTTTGACTGGGCTGAGCGGGAACTATGCTTCCGCAGAGGAAGGGGAGCCAGCAGGCCAGAGGTGGATGAACGCAATGCCCTCGTTTGGGTGTAGGGACTGATCAGAGCCTACACCCAACAACTGTTGGCGCAATTATTAGAAAATGGAAGAAGTTCAAGATGACGGTCAATCACCCTCGGTCTGGGGCTCCATGCAAGATCTCACCTCGTGGGGCATCAATGATCATGAGGAAGGTGAGGGATCAGCCTAGAACTACACGGCAGGACCTGGTCAATGACCTGAAGAGAGCTGGGACCACAGTCTCAAAGAAAACCATTAGTAACACACTACGCCGTCATGGATTAAAATCCTGCAGCGCACGCAAGGTCCCTCTGCTCAAGCCAGCGCATGTCCAGGCCCATCTGAAGTTTGCCAATGACCATCTGGATGATCCAGAGGAGGAATGGGAGAAGGTCATGTGGTCTGATGAGACAAAAATAGAGCTTTTTGGTCTAAACTCCACTCGCCGTGTTTGGAGGAAGAAGAAGGATGAGTACAACCCCAAGAACACCATCCCAACCGTGAAGCATGGAGGTGGAAACAACATTCTTTGGGGATGCTTTTCTGCAAAGGGGACAGGACGACTGCACCGTATTGAGGGGAGGATGGAGGGACCATGAATCGCGAGATCTTGGCCAACAATCTCCTTCCCTCAGTAAGAGCATTGAAGATGGGTCGTGGCTGGGTCTTCCAGCATGACAACGACCCGAAACACACAGCCAGGGCAACTAAGGAGTGGCTCCGTAAGAAGCATCTCAAGGTCCTGGAGTGGCCTAGCCAGTCTCCAGACCTGAACCCAATAGAAAATCTTTGGAGGGAGTTGAAAGTCTGTATTGCCCAGCGACAGCCCCGAAACCTGAAGGATCTGGAGAAGGTCTGTAATCCCTGCTGCAGTGTGTGCAAACCTGGTCAAGACCTACAGGAAACGTATGATCTCTGTAATTGCAAACAAAGGTTTCTGTACCAAATATTAAGTTCTGCTTTTCTGATGTATCAAATACTTATGTCATGCAATAAAATGCAAATTAATTACTTAAAAATCATACAATGTGATTTTCTGGATTTTTGTTTTAGATTCCATCTCTCACAGTTGAAGTGTACCTATGATAAAAATTACAGACCTCTACATGCTTTGTAAGTAGGAAAACCTGCAAAATCGGCAGTGTATCAAATACTTGTTCTCCCTGCTGTAAATCCTGATTTCACCATATCTATTAAAAGCATATTTACGAGAGAATGGTAAAATACAGATAAAAGAGGAAGCAATATAATAGATTCATTGGCAGATTCAAACAGATCCTTTCTTCTCCTGCTCATCTGCTAGTGACCACGAAGTGGCACCAAATCAAACAGAATCTATCTTGCTCTAAATCGTCGGTCGTTAGGACCCAGCGAAGGAGTTTAGTGCTCCATTGCGGTATGAGTGGAGTCATAAACGCACCCTCCAAGGAGAAGTCCATCAGTCACTCACAGTAATTACGTAGCAACAACCTGCGGAATTACAAGAGTTCTACTGCCGCTATTCTTGTCTACAATGAGAGAACTTCACTTTAAAGATTACTTTTGGGTGAGTGCAAATGTGATTGCAGAGCTATTTGTTTTTAGAGATCTAAATCAGATTTTGATGTAATACGTTAGGCAAATGTGTTCTTTCATTTATACGGTTGTAAACACAACATAAGAAGCCTACACAATAATCGAACATTTGTTTCGTAATTTAACTTTTTTAGAGAATTACACACTGCATGGATTGTTTTATAGGTTTCTAACCCAGGAGTGTAGTTCTGGTCCTTTTCAAAACATTTAAGATGCCAATCAGAATGGCAGGGCTCAGGAGTATACCCCTATAGTGTAGGCTGTATCAATGCAGGAAATTGAAAGACTTGTAATGTATTTGAGGTTTAAAAAGTATTCTGTAGTTTGTAATTGCATTTTACATTTCAGACTGGATTTTACCATACGGAAACTGTATCAACCCCTTCAAAAACGTCAATTAATTATAGTCCACATAATTCACATTTCCTGTTGCTGCAGGATTATTTTACTCACATTTAAAGATTCTACATCTGTAGACCTACTGTACCTCTCAAATCACATGTGGTTAAAATGATTAAATGTCATTCTCTCATGCAGACGTACATTACAGGTAACTTCAACTTCAGTTTAGCACCCAAAACCCCAATTTATATTCACGCTCACAAAATACTGGTTTCCATTATTGTTTCCAATATTGTTAGCATTGTCTGATGTCTTGTGTGCTGTAGCCTATTGCGAATCTTTTACATTATGGATTATTTTGGTTGGAGCCCTTGGGGGTCTTCTCTCTGAAATTTTGCTACGAGTTGTTTGCTTTTTGATAGACTGTTAAAAGGCAAGGTGTATAGGGGTTCGATTGACTAGTACTGGGAGGGTGTGAGAGGCACTCCATGGTGTGCCGTGATGACTTATTGCTTTTCCACATTTCCCAATATTGCCAGAACGGGGATCTCATCAGCACTGGTGGTTATGACAGTATCACCCAGCACCTCAACGATGGCAAGAAGACATGCAAGGAAATAGAAGACTTCATGAAAGCCAGGTGAGAAACCATGAAACCAAGATATTGTCCAATAGAAACCATGCATTGAATCCTCAGACTACACTGTTAAAATGAAGTGCTTTGTAACACTAACTAGTGCCAACTGAGCTGCCACCACCTTAAAGGAGACGAAATATTAACTCTGCTGGTATTGAAACATATGGTTGTGAAGGTATTGGAACAGGTTGAAGGTGTACTAAAACATTCATCCTGAGGTGTTCTGAAACACCACATAATCGAGAGTTATGCAGCACCTTGCCAGAGCCTGGGAGCACTAACCCGGGAAAGGTTAAAAACGCTATTATGGTGTTTCTTGTCCTGTGTGGTGAAGAATTAGATCACTTCTCTTTTGGTGCTGTTTCCTCTCTCTAAAGCTCCTAAAACACTATTGTGGTGTTTCAAATCCTGTCTAGTAGGGTTGGGCGGTGTCCAGATTTTCAAATTGTTATACAGTCCTTCGTTCATCCTGGGATTTACAGTATTACTGATTTAGTGCACAAGGGGGCGCCAAAAACACATAAAAGCCCATTGAGTGTCTAGTACCAGAATACGAACAAAATTAGCACAAGTAATAGCGAATTTCCATGGAGGCTGCTAGCTAAATACGCTAATAAGCGCAAAAGAAAATATACAAATTGCAAAGACAGGCAATCCAGCTCATAAAGTTATCCATATATAGGTAGGAGCTACCAAATTTCTTTTTTGGTGAGTTTGGACATTTACAAGCGAATGTGAACGAGAGACATTGTGCAAATGAACAAAATGTTGACACATGCTTGTCTGAAGGAATAACAGTACTGACTCTGAAGCAGCATGTGTACACACTGTACTCTGCTCGGAGAAGAGGGGGGAGGAGCAGACAGGCCAAGAATGGAGAGGGGAAAAAATGCAAGGATATCAAGATAGCAGTGGCAGCTGTACAAATAACTCATCCAAAGGGTTTTGACTTCTCTAACACGGAAGAAAGCAAACACTATAACTTAGGGTCACGTTAACGCAGAAATCTGCGTTTTTCAAGTAGGATTTTTATTTACGCATAAGAAATATCTTGCTGCGTTTTGTAAACGCAGATCTAGAATGCTTCTTGTAATTTCTGCTCGGCATCAGACACATTTTGTGCTTCAGTTGCACTTTCCACTCGGATGAGAATTTACAAACAGGCATTCTATCAGCAGACAGTGCTCTGACTAGGGTGGCCACATGTAAAATACCCAAATGCGGGACAACGGGATGGTTTTGTGGGACATTTGCAGGATAGTGTAGCCTACACCTGAATATTTTTTCTGCACACACAAAAATCTTCCTCCCGCTGCACCGAGAGATTATGCCTCCAGCTACATTTTGTGATCCAGAAAGGAGAGACCACTTGTGTGGCTATTTTATGACAATCTGGGAATATGTGGCCAAGGAAACATTTCTGGTTGGTCTCAGTTAGGGAGACTTTTAAAACGGGCTTGAGTGAAGTAGAAGCAAATATGTTGAATGAGTAACTAATGAGCATAGAGAGTTTGACGAAATGACCTTATGTTTCAGTCTAATACGGCTATTTACTTACTTTTGTAGCTTTTCGTTAGACGCACACTTTTTGTAAGTACCGGTAGTTAACTGTCCTCTGCAAGTTTAGCTGGAATTTAGCCTAAAATGATTTTACAAATGTGATTGGTTGACAATATGGCATTGGCCTAAGTCTCTTCTTGCGCTGCGAAGAATATCAGATCTAAACAACCTTTTCAAAGGGCATGAGGATTCATTCCACAATACAGAAGAAAGATAAGAAAGTCATTTAAGTGATAATGCCCGAGAAGCCGGTGTTTGGAGGATATATTGTCACGGGTGTTGTTAGACCTGAGACGAAGTCAAGGGCCGGCAAACCGTGCCAATATATCCTCCAAACACCGTTTTCGAGGGCAATTTCACTTTGATATAATGGGTTACCAACATATTAAAATAATGATTGACATATTTTAATTAAAAACGTTATTTTTATGAATTTATTCATACTATTTCATCCTTCCACAAGATATAGTCCTGACACAAATCTAGGGTTGCTACCCAAGCCGGCTGGTTGTTTGTTCTTTCGGTTCGGTTGTTAGAGACGCGACCCAGTCTTTCAGTCTTTTTGTTCTGTATCTATGGACTCGACCCAGTCGTTCGTTCTAAATGTTCCATTGCCATACTGGCTGGCAACATTCTTATCCCTTGCTTGCTAGCTAGCCAACTACGGCTAACTTACAGTCATGTCAAACAGTGCAGCCAGAATAACAACAGTAGCTGCATTTGCATTTGTTTAAGCTGTTTTCTAGTTACATTTATTTGGATACATCCATAACAATGAGCTAATGAGGCGCGATTTCGCCTGTCATTGAAAATGTGCTCACTCGTCAGGACACTGTTGTTCAGGGGAACTAGCCAACAGAACAGCTAACACAATCACTTCAAACTGAAGGTGGAAAGACTGCAAACTAGCTTCACTTCGTTTCGTTTTACCTTTTTTCAATTGACATTTCTATATATATCCATAAAAATGATGCCAGCTGATTCATGATTTCGACTGGCTGAGAAACGCTGCCTGCCTGTCTGTCTCGTCCCAACTCCCGACACGTTCATTACTATGGGACAGCTGGAGATCGAATTTGAATATTGAAACAATGTTGCAAATGTCGGAGAGACAGACAGCAAGGTTTATACAAATCTCCGCTGTTGAAAACTAAATGTTAGTCTAAAATAAATGTGAGATAATGTCTAGATGCTTTTTATAGTGGAGAACAAGTTTATAAATTGCTTGGCTGGGCTAATGAGACAGTGGATTGCGCAGTCAGATCGAACAGAGTAAATAGGCATTTTAACATCATAGATTTAGCCGGCGGTAACTTGTGGAATATACACCGGCTGGAATGCGGTTTTAACCAATCAGGATTCAGCATTGAATGATGTGTTTTATCTGCTATTTCCTCATTTTGGACAGACAATTAACCAATGGCATTGAATTGTGTCAGTGACAATCTAATATGTATAGGCTATAGGCTTACATATTTGTCTTGTTGTCCTACACTCTTAGAAAAAAGGGTTCCAAAAGGGTTCTTCGGCTGTCCCTATAGGAGAACCCTTTTGGGTTCCAGGTAGAACTCTTTTAGGTTCCAGATGGAACCCTCTGTAGAAAGGGTTCTACATGGACTCCAAAATGGTTCTACCTGCAACCACAAAGAGTTCTTCAAAGGGTTCTCCTATGGGGACAGCCAAATAACCCTTTAAGGTTCTAGATAGCACCTTTTTTTCTGAGTGTACTTCATATTTACTGTGTAATACACCACACGATTTGAAGGGGGAGAATTTCCCCCTAATCTAAATATAAACCTTTCCTGACAAACTGATACAGCATAGTTCATATTATGAATAATTTATATGTTTGATTGTATTGTTTTCTCCTTCCTCCCTGGTATACTGTACTGTGTAATCATTAATCAAAGCAGAATACAGACTGTGCAATTAGTCAAGCACAAGGACACAACCCCATTATAACATTGTCATATTGAAAGATATAAAGTGTGATTTTGCAAATATATTGCAGTCATATGTTAGTTACTTTAGGCTAAAGAAAGCAGTTATGGTTGAAGTTGTCTATATTTAAATGTTCTTTATTTCATGGACACTACGGACTTCCCTTCTGTGGTGCATTGTGGTGCACGCTATAGGCAAATAGCACATGCACATATTGTAGATAACATTTGCGAACTGTTTACCATGTTGAATGCACCTCTGAAGAGATGTGTTTGGTCATCTTTCAGAGCATCCATAGAGGAGAAGTATGCCAAAGAGCTACTGGGTCTCTCCAAGAAGATGTGTGGGCACAATGAGATGAAGTAAGTCAGTCTGTTGTTGCAGATGTTATTCATGCTGTAGTAGATATTGCTTGCCATCAGTCAGACACTGTAAAACATGTATACATAAATCATTTGAAAGGCCTGCTATTGAAGGTAGAGATGCTTTGTTGAAAGCCCTTAAAAGCCATCACATAACATGTTTAATAGCCTTCTGATTACCCTGGTGCCAGTCTGTCTCAAACAAGACAAAAATGCAAACTTACAGTGCATTCGGAAAGTATTCAGACCCCTTGACTTTTTCCACATTTTGTTATGTTACAGCCTTATTCTAAAATTGATTAAATTCTTTTTTCCCCCTCATCAATCTATACACAATACCCCATAATGACAAAGCAAAAACAGGTTTTTAGAAATGTTTGGGTTGTTGGTATTGTCTGGCATGCAGCCTTCAGATGGCACACTAGAATGCTGTGGATCTGCCCACTGATAGCACTGTCTGAATTGTACATTTACAATTTAGTCATTTAGCAGGCGCTCTTATCCAGAGCGACTTACAGTTAGTGAGTGCATACATTTTCATACTGGCCCCCCGTGGGAAACGAACCCACAACCCTGACGTTGCAAGCGCCATGCTCTACCAACTGAGCTACAGGGAATTTGAACAAACTATTTGTTTTGCATGTTGTAAGATGGTCTGCACACTTCAATGGCTCAATGACCAAGCAGCACTATACAGAGCGATAAAAGTATGCATTATTGCATTAGTGTTATTATTGCATGAGGGTATACAATTGAAATACTGTTGGGCCTTTTTCTGTTGAGAAGGATTCTGTCAGTGGCTTGAGTGTCCATCCTGTTTCAGTATGGTCACATGCTTCACATTGTGGTTAAGGCCTTTTCCGGTAAGGTGGGGGATCTGAAACCGATTAATCAAACAGCTCATTCTCTTCATTCTTAATGATTCTTTGTTATGTGAGGTCAGGTTGTTTTGCAAGAATTACTTTTCATCAATTGACATTATTTGTGTGTTTGTTTGTTTAGCACACTAAAGAGATCGCTGGATGTGTTCAAACTGCGTAAGTGTTGCTGTCACAGCAATGTGTCTGATGATGTATGATGATGACTGTGCTGAGTTGGTATTTCCATGTGATCTGTGTGTGTTGTCCACATAATTTACTAACTCATTCAAACCCTCCTTTACAACATAGAGACTGAACATTTGAGTTTGTCACACCTACAACTGGCACAAACAATGCGGGATGAGGCAAAAAAACTAGAGGACTTCAGGGAGAGACAGAAAGAGACAAGGAAAAAGGTACCGTTGCATTCTATCAATTAGTTAAACCCCTGAAATAAATGTAGGAAATATTTTTTTAAATTTCAATTACTTATAGACCTAATGCATTGCTAATACAGTGCACTCTGCTTAATAGTGAATGCAGTTATAGTGATCAACCACTTATATAAAATCGTCCTGCATGGATGTGATAATGCACACTGTAATTGCAAATCATGGATATATCATCTCTATCGTCTTAGGTACAATATAATATCTTTGACACTTCTTCTTTGCAGGTAGAACAACAGATGGATGCCCTACATAAACAGAGGGCCACTCAGTTCAAGAAAACCATGGAGGTAAGCTGGAGAACTTTCCTATATTATTAGTCAAACCATCTGTTATCATCCCAGAAGTGATCATATTTTCTCTAAAGTCATGTCTAGTTTCAGTCATCATCAAAATGTGAAACAGACTATTCTAATCTAAGTAATCTTTCCTCTGAAAAGTGGGAACAGCCATGGGAAGTGAAAAATGGGGGGGGGGGGGGGGGGGGGGGAACCTCTCAAATAAATGGGAAGTTAATAATATAATAATATGCCATTTAGCAGACGCTTTTATCCAAAGCGACTTACAGTCATGCATGCATACATTTTTACGTATGGGTGGTCCCGGGGATCAAACCCACTACCCTGGCGTTACAAGCGCCATGCTCTACCAATTATATGTACTTGGGCACCTCGAATGAATGGGAAGTTATTGTACGTTTGTACATTATTATTATTACATACAGTGCCTTCAGAAAGTATTCACATTTTGTTGTGTTACAACCTGAATTTTAAATTAATTAAATTGAGATTTTTTGTCACTGGCCTACACACAATACCCCATAGTGTTTTGCGATGGAGGATACCATCCTCATCCAAGTCGAGCTTGTCCCACTCTTGAAGACATCTGCTTTTCATATTGAATGTTTTGAGTTCTTGCCCTTATGGTTTTGAACTTCACAGTTTGTGTTCCATCACTGGGCCGATACTCTCATCTTCTCTCTGTGCCTGTCGTATCTCTGCTTTTGAGAAAGGCATGATGGAACAGGTTTCTGTTGTTGCTGCATACATACCGGAGAATGCCATTATGTTTTAGTCTTGTTGTGCGTCGACGGCCAGTGCAGTTGCTCCAAATGAGTCCGATTTGAACTCCTCTGAACATTCTCTGGTCAGTGTTTCCATGTCTATCGACATTCTGGACAAACTGTCAGCGTTAATGTTCTCTTTGCCTGGACGATATCTGATAATGAAATGGAAATCGGCGAGTTCTGCAATCCATCAGCACTCTGTTGCGTTCAACTTGGCAGTCAACAAGACGTAGGTAAGGGGATTGTTGTCACTGTACACTGTGAAGGTCGGTATAAGTAGTCGCTGAACTTTACTGTGATTGACCAGTACAGGGCTAGAAACTCTAATCTTCCGCTCTTGTTTCTGATACAACACAGCTCCTAAACCTTTGTTTGATGCGTCTGTGTGAAGGATAAACGGCTCTGAGAAGTCTGAGAAACTGAGTACAGGAGGCTGTACTAAATGGTCTATCAGCCGCTCCATTATCTGTTGATGCGTGATTGATTTGTGAGACGACATTCCTCTTGTTATCCCCTTTGTCTGCCATTTCTTTACTTTGCTGTGTGTTCCTGTAACTTCTTCAGGAGACCCCTGTGAGCAGGTTGTAGAGCGGCTAGCAATGCGTGAGAAGTCTTTGATGTATTGCCTAAAGTAGCTCATCAACCCCATGATTCCTCTGAACTCTACTACTGTACTTGGTATTTTGTCCTTCAGAGCTCTGGCTGCTGCAGTATCAGCTGGATCGACTTTGCTTCCCTCGGCAGACACTATTCTCCCTAAATAGCGAACCTCCGCTTTGAATGTCTCATACTTGCTGGGCTTCAGCTTGATCCCATATTCTCTTAGTCTCTGTAGTACTTTTCTAAAATGTTTGACATGGTTCTCAAAGATCTTGCTGAAGACGAGGGCGTTGTCCAGATACGGGAACGCAAATCTCATCTCTCAAGCCATCCAAACATTCCTCCATTCAGCGCTGGAAGGCTGCTGGTGCATTCATGAGTCCTAACGGAATCCGAACCCACTCATACAGGCCCAAGGGGGTCACAAAGCCTGTCATGGGCTTGCTTTCCTTTGCTACTGAAACCCTGGTGATATGCTTTTCCCTGAGCCAAGAGTGAAAAACAGGAATTTCCTCCAAGGCTGTCCATGATACCTGTACTCTGGGTATTGGCTGGCGGTCACGGTGACACTTCCTGTTCAGCTCCCTGTAGTCTATGCACAGTCGTAAACTGCCATCCTTTTTCCTTACACATACGACTGGGGAAGAGTAAGGAGAGTTGGACATCTCCACCCAGCCCTGTGCTATCAGGTCATGCAAGTAGTCTTTCATCTCTTTGTATAATGGCTTCGGCACAGACAGGTAAGTTTGTGCAACAGGATCACTGTCTTTTAATGAAATGCTCAGATTCAGATTCTCATTGCAGCCAATGTCACTGTCTGATTTGAAAAATGAGCTTGATTCCTCTCTCAACATTTGGTGAATGATTTGTTGCTGCAGTGTGTTGAGGTGGCTTAGATCAACAGGATGATCCCATAAGTCTTCAGTATTTTGACTGTGTCTGAACTCTGTTGACAGCAACAGGGGGGGTTGATGACAGTTCTCCAGCATGGTGGCGGGATAGACTGACTTTATTTCCTGCACAGTGTCAATTACAGTTTGCTCTGTTAACGTGATGTCATGGTCTGTGACGTTCTGAACATCAATGATGACATGTGGAGATGCATCTTTTCTTAGCTTTACTAGAGTCTCACAGAACTCCTTCTGCCCACTGAGGGTTTACATCAGGCTCAAAGATCAGTGTGGTGTCCTCTTTATCAGGCTTTGTCTGCACTCGACATTGAACCTGAACAGAGGTGCATTTTGGTATGTTGATCTTCTCATTTGTTGTTTTCACCAGGTACTCGTATGACTGTTCAGCACTCACTAACTCTATGAAAGCCTGGACATTGTTTTTCGTTAGGCTAGGAAAGGCCATTCTCACTGTCTCATTTAACTTTTCTGTGCATGTGCCTCCTGACTGTTCACCGTTGTTGACGATTTGCTCAATCATATTAAAGCCAATAATGGGATGAGATAGATGTCTGCTCTTCATCCCAATCACTGGGATGACTAGTTCTTGAATGTCAGTTGGCTCTGAGGCCAGTTTGAAAGTCACTACATAAGGCATATTCATTCCATTGGCAGCTACTATCTGTAGTGAGTCAGGTGAGTCAATTAAATCAACACCTGGTAAGTTTTCATCTTTCCATAGTTCATCAATGATACACACCTGAGAGCCAGTGTCCTACAAGGCTTGAGTTCTCTCGGGCACGGTTTGGGGGTGCATAGTATCGCTGTGGTGCATATCTCTGCTGGAACTGTGCTGTTTCTCTCACCGGTGGTTCATATCGCTGTTGATGTAACTGGACGGTTTCTCTCATCCACGAGCTGGACAGTGCTGCTGCGGTGGACCTTGTGCTTGATAATGCGTTGTCATGTCATCCTGTTCTCTGCTTGGTGGTGAGGGATATTGCTGCGCTATAAACACAGGTTGTTGAATGGATTCTCTGATTTGTGAGACTTCAGCACTCAAGTTCTTTAACACCATCATATCAGACCTCAGTTCTTTTAGCTCCGATACCAGGTCATGGGGAAGTTTTGGTGTGTTC